ATTTTCTCCTTTACGTCTTTTTCCCACTTTAAGTCTTATTATCTGTTTAAATAAAGAGGTGTATGTCACTTTAGGTGGCAATGAGTTTTCTTTAAAGTGGTTGAAAACCCTCACATATACCTAGTGAAGTGACTAGGTGATACACAGAGATGAAACACATCCTGCTACATAAGTTGTACCTGTTTATCTGCAGTACCTACTTCTATAGATTGTCCTAAAAACACACAGATCAAAGGATTTCTTTTCTCAGCCCTAGCAGCAGTCTGAAGTTTCACAGTGCAGAACTCAATGAAGGAAGATCTGAGCCCTGATTGGAGGGGAGGGGAGGGAAGGGAAGGAAAGGGAAGGGAGACCCCCCCCCCTTCATCAGACAGTACACAGAGAACATGTAGAGCTAAGGATGTGAATCACAGGCTGTGTGCAGGTGCTCCCTCCTCATCAGCTTTTTATCTTTTGGCATTAGGTGAATAATATTCACACATTCAATCAGGCTCTCACTAAACTTCCAGTGCTGCAGCTATAAAAGCTCTGGCTCTCATACATGAGAGCCACTTGTAATTTGACAGCCCCTCCTCTCCCCTTGTCTCTCCACAAAATACAAAGCATTCTGTGAATGGACAAAGGGAGAGAGGGTAGGACAAATAATACTGCTGCTTCCATGTATGAGAGCCATAGCTATCATAGTTATAGCGGACTGGAAGTATAGTTTTTACACTGTAGATAAACAAAATGCTTGGAGTTCTGCTTTAAACTTTACCTTTTTCCCTTTTTTTTTGTTTTAGTTTACATTTAACTGGTAAAGAGGAAGAGCCAGGCCACGCCATTTCTACCACATTTCCCACTTCACATGCGACACTGTATGCACATTAACCCTGGCATGACACACATGCAAATGCACAATAAGGGCGAATTCACACAAGAACAAACAGCTTTACCTCTCTGGCAGATGCCCGTTCCCAACTGCAGTAGGGGACAGTGTGCGTGATTCAGTGCATCACACTGCTGCCTTTATTTGTACAAACTTTATTTGAAGTGTACAACAGTACACTTCATTCATGACACTGTACAGCAGCCTGATGCATTTTATTGCAGCTCAGTTCCAGGCGGTATTGCAGTGTGAATGGGGCACACAGAAAACAATTGTTTAACACCTTCCCGCCCGGCCTATAGCAGATTGACCGTTAGACAGGACACTGGCTGTTGTGACTGGGCGTCACATGACATCCTGTAAAAACACGCCACGCAGCGGCGTCATCTGTCACTACATATCACTACACCAGCCCATTGCCAGTGTCATGTGACCGCTGTGACCAATTATAGCAGATCACATGTCAATTGTATACAATGGATGGCTTCAAGTCATGCCATCCATTGTATACAATTATGTTGTTAGTTGTTACTGGTCAAGGCAGTCACATAATACAGACAGGGCCAATCACAGCCCATCTGTATCATGTGATCAGCTTTGCCCAATCACAACTAATCACAACAAAAGACTGAATGAATCAGTTTCATTCAGTAACAATGATTGTAAATACCAATGAAATACATTGGTATTAGCAATCATAATGTGTTAAAAAAAAAACAAATCCTGATCACTTGCCCAGAGTAGTTCAATGTTACTATGGTAACATTGTATTGCTTTGGTCACAGTGTGCTAAAAAATAAAATAGTAAAAAAAAAAAATGTAATAAAAAATAAAAAAATAGATTTGAAAACAAAAATACAAATTCAATTATTTTCACAAACAAAATGCAACAGAATACATTTTTACCTAAATTAATGAAGAAATGTTATTTATGTGCAAAATTTTATAACATAAATGAAGAAAAGTGCATTTTTTTTCAAAAGTTTCAGGTGTTTTTTCTTTTATTTAGCAAAAAAAAAAAACTCAGTGGTGATTAAATACCACCAAAAGAAAGCTCTACCTGTGTTAAAAAAAATTATAAAAATGTCCAATGGGTACAGTGTCGCATGACCGCTCAATTGTCATTCAAAGTGCGACAGCTCTGAAAGCTGAAAATTGGCCTGGACAGGAAGGGGATATAAGTGCCCGGTATTGAAGTGGTTAATGTGTTTTCTTCTGGTAAAAGGCATTTTAAAAACACCCGTCACCACACTGTGTGTGAATTCACCCTAAAACATACATTTTACTGCATATTTTCGCAACACCTGTTATTCTTTTAATATAGTGTGCCAATATTCAGTTGCTGGGATGTGTTGCAGTATATTTACATTGGCACCTCAACCTACCAAGTACAATACATTACCATGCATAGGAAGTTTTACTCTCGTTATTGCACCTTACAACTATAGAGCCACCTAAAGGGCCTGCAAGAGCGCACATTCTACTTATTTCTTCATAAAAGCACATTTGAACTTAGGCCCTCACACCAGTGCACCTTCTCCATGCTCACCAAGGCACTGAACCTGTTTTACATTATTGAAAAGGTGACACCTACGTAATTAAGTAAATTGCAAATAATGAAATATTAAACCGCAAGACGAGGAGAGTTCAGTGCACCCAGGAATGTTTTATGCCCTAAACATGGTTATTTTAGAACTTTACTAAAATACATATATGTTCTATTCTGTTATGTGCCAAGCATTGACCTATTAGTGGATTGGAAATGGGAACATTATATTAAGTTGTTATCAAGTATCAAATCGTGACATTGTTATCAGAAAATATCTGATTTCCCCTTGTGTAAGCACACATCCAAGGCTACCTATGGTAATCCTATACGCTTCACAGGGTATATCTTTCGTAATCAACAGTACACGTGTTGCACAATAATGTACTACAATGAATCATGATAGATGTCATGTATTCTGCCATTGCTGTATTGACACAATACAAAATGCTGGAAGATGGAGGATCTGCACACCGAACTGCATTATCTGGTACTTACAAACTCTGCATAGCTTAGTGCAACAGGAGTGTTGAGTTGATAATTAAACAATAATAAAAGTAAAGGAGTTCTCCAAAGGGTTTTCAATTTCAATACATAGATTACATTTGAATACACTTCTGAATATTTTAGATTGTCCCCTACATACTCAGCAATCAGAAACTATTGAAAAAGATGTACATGACATTTGACCATTTAAAGCTAACGTTCAGGTTTATGAACTAAGGCAAAGGAAATTATACCCAGACCAATACACATCTTGCATTATGCCAAAGCAACAAATCAGAAGACATTTTCCATTGCCCCAGTCTAATGAAGGGTGAAATCTGGTCGCCATGGCTTATGTTATACTTATACCTTATAGTGTTGTTAAATAAGCCCTATCAGTGAATGAGACCAACTAAACATGATAGTAGTCATACTTTCAGTTCTACATAAATGACAGTTCATTTCTTGGTCTAACTCTACAGGCGTTCCTAAGTAAGAATACACAGCGCCCCTTGTTTAATGGGTACATTTAAAATACAAATGATAAAACGGTATCTGATTACATTGAGTAAGTGAATCAAAATTAATGTTACTTAATAAATAGTTACAGCACCTGTTTTGAAGTCTAAGCACCATTTAATATAAAAGCTAAGTAAGAGACATCCATCAATGGAAAAGGTTTACATTAAAAGCAATTATGATCTCTACATTATGTCATCTTTTCATGTCACTAGCTGCACATCAATACAGCCAGATGTAATGATTACAAAAAGCCTTATTGCAATAGAGTGACACAAATGAAAGTGTAACACAGCCTCACAATTACATCCACACAATTACGAAGGATTGACAATACCACGTCAGGGAAGTAGCAATTGAAAGTTGTAATTAATGTAAACAAACAGGTCCAGGTATTGTATAGGATACCACAGCATATGCAGCTGGATGCTAAAGATATAAGCATGAGAATCAAACCTCTAAAGTTTCTTTATTTGTATACTGTCAGATAATATATATAACATTAGATATATCAACTGAACTTCTAATCAGCAAGATAATTAGGGACATTTCTAGGGTCCTACAAGACCAGGGGCATCTCTGTGCACACAAATTAAAATGTTATGGGACTGGTAGAATACCACAATGACCACTTTGGATCAAATCTATAACTAATATAATTGTTTTAACTAAACAAAAATGAATAGGTCTAAAAAACTGTCATCGCTGGTTGAAAAAATAAATTGATTAAAAAGTTGATAAAATATACAATGTTTCAAACTATGTAATGCAAAAAAATGCATCACGTTCTTATCTCAAAGGAGACCTGGGGCACTCAGTGAAAGACCTAGGATATGTGCCCTGGGTGTCAAGATCTAGCATTGCCCCTGAAGAGACTAAAAAACATATTTAGTAAGTAAAAATTTCTCACATGTACTCCACAGCTGAAAAACAAAATCTCAACTTTTCGAAGTGTTGCATTGTGCTGCACTCAGCACAGAATTTAGCTGACAAGCATTTTTTTCAATCTCTTTTTTTTAATATTAGAATGTTAAGGAAGCATTATTTATATTTGAAACTAGGTACCAAATAGGTAGTGTAGCTTTTCAGGAAATTCTTGCAGGCAACATAAAAACATGCAAATTAAATGAAAAAATAATAAAATAAATAATAAAAAACAGATAAGACTCCAGCATAGGCAACATTGTTTCATGAATCTCTGAAGCCTGTATTTAAATGATGTTTACATATTAAGCCATCAACGTCTACACCGCACCCCTAGCTGTCAAATCCTGCAAATGACCTGCAGGTGAATAACAAATGCTAAAAGTTTTCATTACCTACATAAAATGATGGAATCATGTACAGCAACTGGCGGGGGTGTAAATCCCATTAAGTGACTACTGATCCACAAGCTTAATGAATAAAACACAGCTTAAAAAGCCACATTAAAGAGCACAATTAAACTAAACAACAAAACAGTTCAACTTAAGTTTGTAAACAAGAGAAAGCAAACTTTGAGCTGAGCTGGCTTCATGCCCTTGAGAGATCACCTTTAGTACCCATAACAAATGACAATGTAAGGAAAAAAAATGAAAATACCTCGGTAAACCCCAAGGAAAGGCTGTGGACAAACAGATTATGTGATATAGCGCTTCCTCCCATTCTTGGGCAGCCTCTCCTCTCTGCAGCTGAAAGCAAATGCTCTGAGACTCAGTCGCATATTTAATTAGAAGCAAGCTGCTTCCACTATCAGTGTGTGAATCTACCTCTCCAATCTCTCGTGAGTCAATCTTTCCCATCTCTGATTTTCTTTTATATTTATGCTAGAATATTTAATTGTAGACAAAAGGTTACTCTGGCTGTATTCACTGCACAGAGGCAGAATAATCTGCTTTAAAAGGCTTGACATTTCAGGCTTTTCAAAAAGGCTGAAAAAAATTATATCCCTGCTTTTGTTAATCAATGAAGTAGAACTCTCCTGAACAAAAGAATTAAATTGCTTGGTTGGTTTAATAAAAACCAACAGAAATAGCTGCTTCCTCTGGGCTGTATTGTGTAGGCATGGCACATGCTTCCAGAACTGTAATTCCATATGATTCAGGGGCAAAACTCTAATTTCTGCACACAGTTGGGTTTTTAAATCCTTTTCAAATACTATCCATTCTGGCTGGTTCTCTGAGGACAGATTTATCATTAAACTTGACTTCTTTTTTTTTAGCTGAATGCTGCAGCTTTAAAGACCTTTCATTTTGGGGGAGGATTAGTCTGAGGGATATAATATATTGTCCTCCCAGCTGACCTCATCAAGACAGTGATATCACTTTTTGACAGCATGTGGCTTTTTTATTAATTAACTACTTAGGTTTTAGGAATTTAGATGTGATTGGACAGCAGAGGTGCTTAGGTCATGGCGCTACTGTCAGAGGAAGTTTTCCGTTAAACCAGTACATATCACTAATCTGTGTGTCCGTACATTGGTAGGAATACTTTGGAAAATTTGTGTTTCCAGAATGCTCATTCAGTTTTGTAGCGGGGTCAAATTGAAGTTTGTTTTCGACCAAAGTGACAAAAAATTCAAAGGAGCAGGATGGGAAAGTTTTTCCAAATGAACAAAATTCTAGCTGTGAATCTGGTTTTCACTTAGGAAAAATGGTACATATTGTAATGAAACCTGTTTAATATGAATTGGATTCCATTCAGATAGCAGGTCTGGATGACATGTTAAGGGCTTTCTAATTAAATTAGTTGAATCAACAATGGCAAGTAGGGATAAGTTTAGGCATGTTCCGATCCTAGCTCAAACCCACATGAGTGAGCCTGTCACAGTCACATTTACTGGGCTAATCATAAGTGGTGGAGACATCTTCCCCACAGCTGACGCACACTCCCTTGTATATGTATGGCTGGAGGGTACAGCTTTTTAGTGAACTCACTTGGGTGGCTTCCAACTAGGATCCGAACACACCTGAGCTCAACACTAATGGCAAAAAAAGAATGTTCTGATGAATGACTTATCTACAGGCATTCAAATGACAACCTAACCATGAATGGCCAGCTTAGCCTATCAACGCAATATGAATACTAATGGAAATGTCTTGCGAGCCAGAAAGTAAACAAAAACTCCTTGTAAATACCCTCTATTAATGGATCGCAAACCTATAGCACATAACTACCAATGTGATAAACAGAAAAAAATAAAATATATAGTGTTGCGCTCCCAAACCTCAAATCAATATATTATGATTTGATCTCTATTTTAAAGATTAAGAATGATGTGTACGAATAAACTTATATACTAATTTTCTTATACTTTGAATTTATACAAATAATTAATGTGCATGAAAAAATAAATAAATATACTGCAAATAAATAACAAAAAATAAAATATAAAAATAAAAATAAAAATAATAAAAAATAAAAATAAAAATAAAAATAATGTCCCAAAAAAGTGACTTTGTGCTGGAAAATCTTCAATTTACAATGATTGGTGACTGCTTGTGAATCCTCCCTTAAGTAAAGATGTGCGCTCACCTCATAAGAAGCCTGCAATTAGGCTATATAAACTTGTGGTTCACCTCCTTTGGAACCTGCTTGTTTAGAACTCCTGCTTTAGGATATCCATGGTGTGCAACATATGCTATAGGATGAATCTCCTCTCCAGCGGATGCAATTCATCTATTTTTTCATCTCCATACGATTCACCACATACAAAAAAGATCTCGACATGGTGCTTTATCTTTTATATAAGTGTGACTTTTATTTGCTCAAAATATGGCACTCACATATTAGGTGTGCGGATAGTGGTAGCACAAATACAATCCAAGACCGCCGCTGATTGTCGGAGCTGTGTGCTCGTGGTCCGGCAAACAGACTGACTCCCTCGGAGGGGAGGGGAGGTGAGGAAACAAAAACTTCACTGGCTGTTTGTGTAAATTCTCGCCTACTTTGCTTCTCCACCTTGGAGGTGGCAAAAGCTTGGAGAGAAGAGGGAAAAGTCACAATGTGATGTGGAAATTAAATATATGGCCACTCTCAAAAATAACAGAAAAGGTAATAAAAGACCTATGTATGAGGATCCATTCATGAATAAACATGTTTTTATTTATATCAAGACTGTTTAGTTACACCTCAACTTAACTGTATTTATGGCTCTACAAATACACTTGGATAAAAGTGCCACAGAAAGGTCTTGGCATATACTGTAAATAAAAACATAATTATATTTATGAATGGTCCCTCTCGCATACGTATTTTATTAACTTTTGTTTTATTTTTTTAACTGTTAATTTTATCCACTTTTATATTTTACTTTTCATTGATATTTGAGACTCTGATTTCATGAGATTATGGGCACAAATCCCATTTCTACTCACACTACACATTGTGGCCATACATCATGTATTCTTTTAACCTCTTCTCTGAGAACTTTATACGTGGTGAATAGCGGCGATATGTAAAAGTGGGCCATATTGCTGCTTCAAAAAAAAACAGTTTGAATTAACCCATAAAGAAAAATGTTAGTAAGAGTTGTTATTCCCACATTTTACTTTACCAAGTCACTGATTTTTTTGAAAATCCTAAGCCCTTCTGGACCACAAGTCATATTGTATTATCGGTATCCCTAACTATAACCATCTTTGGCTCCTAGAAACAATGCAAACCAGACCAGTGTATACAACTACTCCTTGCCCTCAAGAAGGCCATTGATCATGAAAAAAACTCAGCTTCCATCATGAATTCAGAGGCATCATAATCAACATATTTTACCCCCCCCCCCCCATTGATGATAGAACAAATGTTTTATGAATTCTTAACAGAACTAATCATTTGGTGATTCCAAGCTTCTGAGAGCCATCTGTCAATCACAATTCATGGCACATATGACACATCGCAAACAAATAAAAACATCAAAAGAAAAATAAATGATAATTTTATTTATATTTTTGATAAACCTGAAAATAAAAGCAAATCAAGTATATCCAAAGTCAAACCTTTTTCCTTTAATTTGGATAGAGTTGGTTTGGGTAAAAATGCTGTCAGTATTTCCTTTACCAAGTGTGTCACACTAAGGAGATTTCCCTTTAGTTCCTGTTCTGTAGATTTATCAGGAAAACAGACAAAATCTTTCTGATGTGAGTGAAACCCACTTTAAGCCAATTGTCATGGAAACAAAAATTCCCATTGGAATATCTGAAGGACACTTAAAATTTGGATGCACCTTCATTTTCATTATCTATGACCTTGGTGACTTTTGTAGAGAGTAAATCTCCCAAATGGGATCCAGAGAATGGCAGCAACCAATGAAGATTTTTTACTTATCCTTCTTACCCTTTAATATATCTTCTCTTTTACCAAAAACTGTTGTCCTCTGTTGTTTACCAGGGCCTCCCTTCATATTTTCCAGAATGTAACCTGTACTGTGAGACTACTTTAAATTTAAAATCACTGTTATTACATATCAGCATCAAAAACAGCTTCTCCTCTAGTAACACAACATGTTAATAATCACAATTTTAGAGGAGTTCCCAAAACCACCAATTACAACAGAAAGGGGAACTAATATGACGCTTCATGTTCTAAAGCAGAAAGAGTGACATATTGTTTATAGCAGCCCGATGAGAAATGACATCCCTCGACAAAACTACAAGCCCCCCCTTCATCATCATCATGTCCATTCATGTCAACTGATCAAAACTTTCTCCTTAGTAGACCAATGTGAATCCACACAGACAATTACAAACTCTGCCTCACCTTGCATTTTCCAGGGGATATGAATTAGAGTTGAGGACTTGAGATGTATAAAAGTTTAGCACTAGGTCAAAAATAAGACTCATGGATGTGTATTGTACAATATTCTGTTTACATCATAGCCATTTATGAAACTGCCTTATTAGGAATCTTTTGAGCATTCTGGTTAGTAGAGGGTTATGATAATTCTGAATTCCATCTAAATTTGTCTTGCTGTTCTTAAGATGATTGAGGTTTGTAAAATATGTCCCTTTACACAAATGTCTAGTACATACTGTTTTTGTTAATGACTCGTAAATTCTGAGGGAAATGATCACGAAACAATGTTCACCATAACTCCCCTGTTCTCCTCAGAGTCTGTCCTTTTAGGAGGTTGCAAGTTTATTACCAATGCTATCAACTTCTGGCTCTGTTTGCCTGGAAATCACCAGTTGTTCTGGTGCAACCAGAGTCATCACAACCAGTGTTAACATTTTATTCCTGTCAAGGTCCTACCTTTCCTCAGAGATTGTGTTGCTCCATGTGCTGGCATCCATCTTAAGTTCCTGCAAAGCATGGTGGGAGCCTTTATGCTTTCAGGCCTCTGCGGCTCCTCCTCCAGAAGGGTGTGGCTGATCACATTTAAGCCTGCTGTATGCAGTTGCACTTTGCATTTGTGTCCTGTATGTTCCTTTGCAGCAAGCTCTTGTTCTGTTCTCGTTGCTCTCCTGGTAACCGACTCGGCTTGGACAAGACTCTGCTTTATCCCATTACCTGACCTCCCGTTGCTGAACCTGGCCCGTGACCTGAGTATTCTTGTCTACCGTCTTGTACTGTTTGCTCCGTTGTTATCGACCCGGCCTGTCCGACCACGCTATACGTTTTCCATCTGGCTCCCACCAGCTGTACGCCATTGGTGGCAGTGGTTACCGCAGCTGGGGGTACTCGGGGGCCGCGACCTGGTCTCAGGCTGCGTCAAGTCCATCCCCACCATCAGGGG